TTTGGACCATCTGAAGACGACTAATATTGGACTGGCTCATTCCAATATAAAGAGAATTACAATAGTCAAGTCTAGATGAAATGAACAAATGAATCACTCTCTCAAACTCTGCAAATGTCAAAAAGCTCTTTGCCTTAGATAGTAGTCTTAGTTGAAAGAAACTAGATTTAACTACGGCACTTATCTGTTTGTCAAATTTAAGAGCAGAATCAAAAATAAGACCCAAGTTTGTCACTGAGGGTTTAACATAGGGGACCAAAACTCCCAGGTCAGCATTTGGACCAATAGAGACTCCTGGGGTACTAAAAATGATAGCTTCAGTTTTGCTTTCGTTCAAGTGCAAAAAATTTGAGGAAAACCAGGATTTCACATCAGACACACACGCTGATAATAAGCTTAATCCCTTTTTATCGTTTTTCTTTAGTGGCAGATAAATCTGGGTGTCATCAGCATAAAAATGAAATGACACCCCATGTTTAGAGAAGATAGTCCCCAAAGGAAGCAGATACAACGAGAACAAAGCTGGAGACAGAATGGAGCCCTGAGGGACTCCATAATTCAAAACAGAAACAGAAGAAGAAAACCCATCCAAACTAACAGAAAAAGTTCTGGCATCTAAATAGGACTTGAACCAATCCAGGGTGCTGCCTTCAATCCCCACACATTGTTCAAGCCGTGAGATAAGAATTTTGTGGTCCACAGAATCAAAGGCAGCACTTAGATCGAATAGTAGGAGAATCACTGAATCCCCTGAGTCAACAGACAATAAAATATCATTAAAAACTTTTAATAAAGCGGACTCAGTACTGTGGTATTTTCTAAACCCAGATTGAAATTTTTCAAAAACACTATTTAACTCCAAATGACTCTGTAGTTGTTCCAAAACAACTTTCTCTAAGATTTTTGAAATGAAGGATAGATTTGAAATCGGTCTATAATTGGAAAGTATGGTTGGGTCGAGGTTGTTTTTTTTTTAGCAGAGGTTTTACAGTTGCATGTTTAAGGTATTTTGGAACAACACCTGTGAGAAGGGACTTATTTATTATAGCTAAAATACTAAGTCCAACAACATCAAAAATCTGCAGCAAAAAATGTGTTGGAATAATGTCATGCAGACATGTAGTAGGTTTTAGTTTCTTAATAATATCTTTAAGTGAATTTAAAGTTACTATCTGAAATTCAAATGATGAGACAAAGGGAGAGAGCATAGATGACTCATAGTTTGAAGGGACAATGTTTTGTCTAATATCAACAATTTTTTCTGTGAAAAACTTTAAAAAGCTATCACATACTACAGTTGATGCATTTAAACAGACAGCACTCACAGGATTCACAGCCGAATTTAAGATAGTAAAAAGTATTTTAGGTTTGTGGGAATTTTTGGCTATGATGTCAGAAAAATACTGAGATTTTGCAGCTTTTACTGATTTTTGGTATGTAATGAATGACTCACGTAATATTTCATAAGACACTTGTAATTTGTCCTTTTTCCATTTTCGTTCCGCTCTACGACATATCCGTCTAAGTTCAACTTTTGTTTTTTGTTCGGCTGTTGCCTTAATTTTGTTCAACCTAGTTTTACAATAATGTTCCTAGTGTCAAATAAATGCTAATTACTGTACAGGCTAAACATCCAAACTTTCCCTTAAGTAAATGTTCTCCATTTCTAGATTGTGCTGCATGCTGTTAGACCTGTGGAGTTAAATGGATGCTCCTGCTCGTGTGCTGCTGGAATGGCTTTATGCAACCATGTTGTTGCACTCCTGTATCAAACGGCTCACTACAGCACCATGGGGCTGAAAATTGTGCCAACCCCACTGTCCTGCACCGGTGTGCTTCAATCATGGCACCGTCCAAGGACACAGGTAAGTTTGTCTGATGCAAGTTGTGCCTTTAAAGTTTGTAAGTGCACACTGTTGGAATACTGATTCTGGTGTAGATGTTTCTGCACAGTGTCTCCATATCCTACACCTCATCCATATGAATTGTTTACATGATAATATAAAATTTGTCTGGGTCCCTCAGATATAGCCATACGCAATTCTAGATTTACTCACACATCACATTTCAGTATACATTTGTTTCCTTCTATTTTGCAGAGCAGCGGTTGCCTGCATAGGATGTACACCTACAATATTGCTTGTTTGCTGAATTAAACTGATACTCTCTCAGATTTGCAACTGAATTTAATTTCTTTTTGTGTTGATCCAGGGGATTCGTCCCGAACCCACGGATGAACTCGTGGTACGAAAGCCAAAGGCGCTAGGACGCAGTAGTGTCAAATCTACTCTGTATCGCGCTTACGCTGGTAAGCTTTAATTACGGTAATTTACTTATATACTTTTATCACGGCAGAATTGATTACTGGGATTGCTCGAAGCAGTGTATCGATTCTTCCGGTTATGTATTTTCAATGTGCTTTTGTTAACATCTAGTTGAATAAACGCCTCTGAAAATGTCCAGATTTGTAAATCATCCTGTGGGTGTTCATTTTAAGAGACAGGAGAAGAGATATTTTGATGATTACTGTGTACATGATTTTTCAAACTCAAAGGAACTTGTAGGTTTTTAATCTAACATAAGCCATGGCTATTAAACATGCGTGAAAATTTCACCCCACGTCAGTGCTCATCTAAATAGTGACCACACTAGTGACCTGCAGTGTGTATGAGCATTGATGATAAAGATCAAAATTAATATTTTTTTTTGTATAAAATATTTCAGTCATTTTTCATTTCACTGTTTGTAATTCACACGTTTATTCCAAAATTCGTCACGCTGTTAGCCTGTTAAGATGAATTCAATTTGTTGGATCGTTCATTTTTTTTTTTTTGCGCTCTTATGATGATAGACCATGGTTTTACTACAAATAAAAAACAAAATAAAACAACAAGTTAATAGTTAAATCATGGTAACCAAAAATCAGCCATATTTTAACAATTTTTATCAGAAAAAAATTGGTAAAATTCAGTTTAGGATTGTAAATTCAACCGGTATGAAATATGATCAATAAGAGAAAAACGCTGTTAATGAGAAGATGAGCACTGGACTTCGTCAGGTTAGTTTGGAAATGAATGTATGTGTTAATCAGAATGCACATTTGAAAGGGAAATATATTTACAGGAGGAACATTTCAACTAGTTGTAATGTAAACATCCTTAGTGCCGCGTCTAGCACTGTCTCAGTTTATGGCCAGCAATACTGTTGTTTAAGCACATTATGGAATTAAGATAATGTCTGCACTACGTTATGATTAAACCTGAATCTGATTATTCATTATTATTACTATTTCTGAAAGTCCGATAACATCCGCAATTTTAAAATTAGAACATGCAGATAGTTCTTTGTATCAGATTAGCTACACTGTTGCTTGTAAAACATTGACAGTTATTAACTGATGAATGGTTTCTGTTACTTGTGTTTTAGGACCCCTTCCTGACCCGGCAGTGTTGTCAGTTGGAGCCCAACTACGCAGCCATCAGCCACAACCTGGCATTTGCAAAATCTTACACGGCCTCTATGAACTGACTTTAGTGGACTCTAAATTTGGACCAGTCCCTCGAGGTTCAGTTCTTTCTTATCAGTGCACACCAGTAATACCCCGAGAAATCATTAAGCATCCAGAAGCTCCCTCATTTCCACAACTTCCATTAATTAGTGGCTTAGAATTAGAACGGCATCTACATTTTGTCCCCAATTGTCAGCAGTTTTATCACTTACAGAGTTTAGAACTAACCCCGTGAATGTGCAAGTATCATTGAAGAGAATACAAGGGGGCAGTCAGAGAATCCTTTGTGGAAGGAAGTCCGACAGCCCCGCCTAACTTCCAGTAGATTCGGCGAAGTTTGTAGCGTTAGAGGGGAGTCATCTAGTCAGGCTCTCGCAGCCAGGATCATAAAGGGGGTAAGGCAAACACCTGCTATGAAAAGGGGTATTGACCTTGAGCCAGAAGTTTTACAACAGTACAGTGACCTTTGCAATGTCAGTGTTGCTCCTTCTGGATTCGTTGTGAATCCTGATGCGCCTTACCTCGGTGCTAGCCCTGATGCCAAAGTGTATGATCCCACTGCAAATCCACCCTTTGGGTTAGCTGAAGTGAAATGCCCAGATGTTAACAGTATAACAGAGGTTACACATGTCAAGTTCATTGGTGGTCAGGCCAAACAAAAAAAAAATCACAAGTATTTCTGGCAAGTGCAAGGCCAGTTAGCCATTACTGGTTTAAAATGGTGTGATTTCATTACATCCACACAAAGTGACCTCACAGTAGAGCGAATTTGGCTCGACGAGTCGCTGACCAGTGAAATGAAAGGTAAACTTGACTTATTTTATTTCACGACATATATGGAAACGTACCTGAAACTAAAGTAAATCCCCCCCCCCCACACACACACACACACACACCCCACACAAACACACACACACACACACACACACACACAAACAACTGGGATCTCTTTCTGATTTTATTTATGGAACGGACATACCTACTCTCTACTCTACTCGCTGAGCAGTGAAATGAAAGGTAAACTTGACTTATTTTATTTCAAGACATATATGGAAACGTACCTGAAACTAAAGTAAATCACCCCCCCCCCACACACACACAGAAACACACACACACAAACAACTGGGATCTCTTTCTGATTTTATTTATTGATTTATTTATGGAACTGATATACCTACTCTCTAATCATCACCACCACCACAAACACACACAAATGTAAAGTACACGCACTTGTACTTAATGGATTAAAATTAAAGTAAATTAAATGTATGTAAATATAAATGTAAGATGAGTGTCTGATTTTTTTTTTAGTGTATAAATGTAATGTTATTGTATTCATTTTCACATAAATTATTTTTTATAAAAGATGTATATATACATATATATATATATATATATATAAATAATAAATGCTATGCCATGTTTTAATGCAATAAAATGAAACGAAACCAAACAAATCTGAATCATTCATCTTATGCCTTTGTTAAGGGTTTCACACTGGGACATCACCCTTCACATCCAGAGGGCCTTGGTAGTTGGACATTAGGCAACAAGTTGCCCATAGCTGATTGACGGACCCTGAAAGGGTCAAAGGAATGGTTGTGTCCCAGATATGATATTCCTTCACTCTTCTGATGGCTCTCTCCACCAGGATTCTTAGTCGGGCGATGTTCTGGGTTTTTTCTGTGTCCTCTTTGCTGAACCTGGTACCTCTTTTGAATGGGGGGATTATGAGGGTTGCTCCAACATCAGACAGCATCTGGTCAATGACAAAGCCTTTATCAGCCATGCATGCATCTCCAGGCTCAAACAGGCTGAGGATCCCTGACTGACGTGTGATTTCTCGAACTGATATTGAACCTGTGAAAAGCTTTGAGATGAAGGTGATAACACCACATGGGGCAATGCCAATTAGACCTTTGAAAGTATTGGTGTTCTTGTAGGACGAGAATGTTTCTGACTGGAGGGTAAGTGATGATGGTGCCTCACATCTGATTTCTGTGCAGTCCAGAATAACACGCACGTTCGGGCAGTACTGTGTAAACTTTGGTGGCATTGTTGCTTGCACCTGTTCCCTTGACATCCAGATTGGCACTGACCCCAAAACAATGAATAGATAGTTGGCCCATGTAATTATTATTCTACTCACCGTAGTGAGACTAATGCCAAATATGTCCGCAATCACCTTCTCCTTCATACCAACGGCAACTCGACAGCAGTAAAGAAACAGTTCATCCATGAGTGCCAGCCTCCGGTTCGGGCTTGGTTTCTCCAATGCCATGACATCGCTTGCCCTCTGAGCTCTGCTCCAGTAGATTAGCCTAGATGCTGAGGGGGCAACTGATTCCCAAAACGACCAAAACACCTTCTCTGATTGAAAACGGGTGTAGAACCGGAATTCCTCGTCAGTGGCACAGTATCTGTTGATGTTTAGTGTGCATGACAGGTCACTCAGTTGTCTTTCTAAACTTCTGACCTTAGCCTCCAGTTGCCTGATGGTTTCGGCAGCAGCATCAGCATCTAGTCCACCTGCGGAGTCGCGGGAGTAATTGTGATCACTGGCGGCCGCGGGTTGTTGATCCTCCGCGACTGTGGGCTGTTCATCCGCGTTCTCTATAGCAGAGTCGCTATTCTGTGACTCTTCAACTAACGTTACTTCAAAACGCGCATTAACCCGATCGAAAACTGACTGGCGAAGCACACGAGTCTCCCCCCAGCTGTTCCACGAAAATCGACTTGGTGTAGTACCGGATTTTAGTCTCCTCCGCCCACTTTTCGAGACGTAAATGCTTTCCTCGTCAAAGTGCAAGCTGCATACAAACGTACTACCAGTGGCGGCTTGTCAATAGGGGGCGCTGGGGCGCCGCCCCCATCAAGAAATATACATATACAAAAATTATATAAAAATACAACAATAAAATATTTTTTTCATACGATGTACCGGCTGGTAGTAAGAAAAGCATCAGCATTTAATAAAAACTGGCTTTAATCGGTCAACTATTTTCTATGTTTTTCAATGTGTTTCATCGGACTAATGGGTGTCTATGTGAGGCTTTAAATTTTCGTGCAACATGTGACCTGAAGCTGGCCTCTAATTGGTTTCTTAAAGATTCACCTCAGGGCGCAAGTCGTTGCGTCCCTGGCCAATCAGAATTTGATTCACGTTATTTTATCCAATATGATTGGTTCTCGTCACCTGTCATTCAACTTCACGCTCTGGGCCACTACCAGAGCCGTTACTATACTATTTCGAGCGCGCAGACGACACCATTTCGACATTTTTTGTATAAATAATGGCAGCAGTTCATCCAAATTCTGTGATTTTTTTTTACAAAAAAACCCTTTCACAAGGCTTTCGCTGGAAGAAAAAAAAAAAAGATAAAGGATCTCGGACCGGACCAACCCTGATTTACAAATTCAGCAGCAGGCCAGTGACAGGGGACGAAGCTACACACAAAGCTTCACCCGCGTGTGTTATGAGAAACGGAGGTGGCTGGCTGGATGTGATATTAGCAATTCTCTGTTTTGTTTTCCCTGCCTTTTATTTCAAAGTGTCGGCACTGAAGTTTTGTGGACAACAACGGGGGTAAGAGACCTCAAACATCTCTCTGAAAAATGCAAACGTACTTCTTTATTAGTATGAAATGTATATAAAAGAGAGCAATATGTTCAAGTAGGAAACATGCTTTCTGGTACTTCTTTACTAGTACGAAATGTATATAAAAGAGAGCAACATTTAAGTTCAAGTCGGAAACATGCTTTTTGGTACTTCTTTATTGGTATTAAATGTAAATAAAGATCATACATTTATATTTAAGTAGTAGTCAACATGGTTTTTGGTACTGCTTTGTATTTATTTGCCCTCCTCAATAAAAAAAATACAAATAAAAAATGCGCCCCCCCAAAAATAAATATCACCAGCCGCCACTGCGTACTACCCCGACTTATATGGAACAAAGGACCTTCGTCCCTCCTTATCAATCTCACCCAAGCCTTGCGGAGGTGTTCGTCTTTTTGGAAGCTAAGGTATGGCTGTCTTTGTTTTGATGTTGAACAACCCGGTACACTGCAATAGCACCGGCGAGAGGAGGCAGCCATAGTTTATCTGGTAACTAAGTAACCACCGGAAGTGCGAGTACACTGCTTGGCGATTTCGAACGTTCCAAACCAAGAAATGTGATAAAGGCCTATCACAAAGTATCCTTTTCACAACACAAAATAAGTGTTTCATCTACATTATTGTTTCATTCACAGTAACTGCCTTTCATAAAGCTCTTACTATCAAACTTTTGATTTGCATCTCTTTTTGTTCAGTTTAATACTTTTGTCTATTATTTAATCCAACTGATCTTAATGTTTAATCAATTAATCATTTGGTAAACCTATAGATTTTCAATTCAGCAATATACAGTATATGGATTTTGAGAACTACAGAAATAAAATGTGTGTTCGTATGAATATTTACAAGTAAATTACATGTAACCACACATGATGAATACTCGTTATAGCTAATTGATTTCACATAGTGGTAACCACAATTGGCCACTATATACAGTAATGTGTGCACTAAATGTTATGTTTTGTTCTTGTATTTACGTAGTTACATTTCATTATAGAAAGTATACCTATGTTACAATTATATCTGAAAAATAAAAACTATAATTTGCCTAAATGATTGTAGAGGATGTCTTCATTGATCCTTCACTTGATTAGGCCGACATATATGATGGATATTTGGAAATTATAGATTATGTAAATGTAGCGCCCCCTATGCTCTGAGTGTAACCCAAGCGACGCTCCGGATTCTTTAAATGTGTCTCTCGACTTGCAACTATGCAATATTGTTATTCTTTCCCTTCCTTGAGATCTAATATCTCAATTAACTGTCTACTAATTAACTGCAAGCAACACCATTTGGTAAGTATAAACAAATAATAACATTTATTCACACACAATAAAATAAATATAAACAAACAAAAAACCCCTTGTATTGAGTCTTAATAAACCAATAAACTTCAAATGTAAATCAACCCTTGTCTCTTATTTTCTCTTTCACAAAAATAAACTCAATTCACTTTCACTCTGTGACTTTAAGATAAACTAACTCACTTTAAATTATTTCACTAATGAAAACAAAGTTAGGAATAACCTTTTCAATTACATCACATAAATCTCAAATAACACTTTTGAACACTTTTGTTATCTTTTGTGAAATGTAAACACTGTACCGTACCCTTTCAGTGATCACTCGTTTATGCACGCTCACACTCACACACACAATTGTAAAAGTCACCACCCAACCCCCGTTGCAGGCCTGTATCGTTGCTAGAGTTCGCTGTGGCCTAGAAACAACAAATGGCCTCTTCACTCTGTTGAGCAAACAAAACAAAACCAGATCACCTTAATTCCTCCGTCAGCAAACGACTCTCAGCAACTCTTCATCCACCACGAGCACCTGCACACACTGGCATTACTGGACCCATCGGCTCACCATCTTCTTCCCCGACAGCAGCAAACGAACCCCAGAGCTTATCCGATCTAGACCCGCTCTGATCAAAGTCCAGCGAACAGTGGTCCTCTTCACACGGATACGATAATCAACGCGCAGTCCGCAAATAAATGTCTGTGATTCTACCGCGTTTCCGTCAGTGTATTTTTCCACACTATGAGCTAGACGAACTCCTGTTTGGAGTAACTCTTTCACAAATATTTCTGTGTCAGAAAAGTCCGAACTGAATAAATGCACAAATTAAATACTTATACAGCACTTAGATTACATTTTTTCTCCTCAGCCTTTTACAACACCCGCTTCTCTCTCCTCTCTCTCAGAATCTCCCCCCCTCATCCAATCCAAAAACACCCTCTGAATAAAGAGTGCGGGATAAAACACACAACATCCAATGGAAATAAAATAATACAAGAATGCTAGGCAAAAGCACATTTTCCCCTAGTGCATTACAGACAAACTTTAATCTCCCTCATTATTCTTAAAGCAACACATCCCCGTTATGACCTTATTCAAGTGAAACCCTTTATATCACTTATAAATCCTACAAATGAACTTCTCTTAATGACTGATACTATTGTTTAATCAATAATTCCCTACTTACTCAGAACTATTACTGTAATAATCTCAGAAATAAGATATTAATAACCTTATAAGGAATATTAATAAACCACCTGGGTTACACTCTCCCCCTACTAAACTACTCATGTCCTCATGAGTCTCCAATTACAACTGTAGTAGGACTTCAGGTTTTGGATTCCTCTTCTCCTGACCACATTGTTCACAGGTGGCCATAGAATGACACCACAATGTTCTGCAATCACTCCTCTTTTTAGAAGACTCTTGAATCTTCACAACCATACCCCTATACACGATAGTCAAAGGCTTATCAGAGGGCTTTCCAAGTTCATCATAACTCAACTTCTGAACTGGTTTAATCCTCCTCTTCAGAGAATTCCTCCCTCTCTCAATCTCATCTTCTCCACTTGCAACATTCACAGTTTCAATTCCTCCTTCTTCAGAAACTGAATCATCAATGTTCCCCTCCATTTGAGCATCAGACTCCACTCCTCCAGTCAGTTCTACCTGAACAGGATCCTCGCGAGACCTATTAGGGCTCGGTACGTTCTCCCTCACAGTTGACGGAAAGGATAGTCTTTCAAGGTTCATAGTCCTTTCAACTGGATAATAAACATAATCACTACTGTCACCACTCTCAGAATTCCAGTCCACTGATTCACGATTCTCCCTTTCATGATTTATGACTTTCTTCTGTTTTCTTTCCACAGTTTAAGATCTGGTCACCACGCGGTGTGAACTGTCCTCCCTCTCTGAAGGTAAGTTTAATCGCACTCCCTCACCAATCGGCAACAAGTTATCTCTGTGCAAAGTTCTCACCCCTCCGGTTCCAGTCTTCGGCTTCACCCTGTACACAGGTAAATTTTCCAGCTTCTCTAGAACAAGGTAAGGTACTGAACCCCACTTATCTCTCAATTTCTGCTTCCCAGTTGTAGCCAAGTTTTTCACCATCACAGAGTCTCCTTTTCCCAGCTCACAGAACTTCACTCTCTGATCGTAGAGTCTTTTGTTCCTCTGCTCCGATTTCTGTGCATTCTGCAGTGATAACTCAAATGCTTTTCTCAAATCCTCTTTCATTCTCTCTACATACTTCACATGCTTTTCTCCTCTTCTCCCGTCTCCAGCACTTCCAAAACGCACATCAATTGGAAGGCGAGCCTCTCTCCCGAACATAAGATAGTAAAGAGAAAATCCAGTAACTTCACTCTTCGTGCAGTTATACGCATGCACCATCTGACTCACACTCTGACTCCATCTCTCCTTCTTAGAAGCATCCAAGGTTCCTAGCATGGATAACAATGTCCTGTTAAAACGTTCCGGTTGCGGATCTCCCTGAGGATGATATGGCGAGGTATGATATTTCTGATCCCCAGAATTCCAAGCAACTCCTTGATCAGTCGGCTCTCAAAGTCTCGACCCTGGTCAGAGTGTATCCTAGCAGGTAATCCGTAATGAACGAAGAACTTCTCCACTAGGATCTTTGCGACCGTCAGTGCCTTCTGATCTCTGGCAGGATACGCTTGTGCATAACGTGAAAAATGATCAGTTACAACAAGAACATTTGATACTCCTTTCAAGTCTGGCTCAATCGATAGGAAATCAATGCAAACAAGATCCATTGGTCCTCTGCTTGAATTATGATTCAAGTATGCAGATCTTTGCGGCAATGTCTTCCTCGCAATACACCTCCCACAATTCTTCACATATCTTTCCACTTCCATGGACATATGCGGCCAGTAAAATCTGTCTTTGCACACCTCAGTCGTTCTCTCAATCCCCAGATGACCCGACTCATCATGTAGAGAATGCAAGACTTCCTGTCTGTACTTTCCAGGCAAAACCAACTGTAATTTCTCTCCTCCAAGAGAATTCTGTGTCACTCTGTACAACAGATGATTACAAATGACCAACTTTTTCCCTTGTTTCCTCAACAAAGTCTCCAACACATCTGAACTCTTTTTTGTTTTCAGACACTTTCCAGACTCCACATCTCGCATCACTGTGCCAATGACTGGATCTTCCCTTTGTGCCATTCTCAACTCCTGGTTAGTCAATGAATCACTCTCATTAGTGTTCAAGTGAATTGGGCAAACATACAGTTCTGGAACACTTTCAACTCCAACACCCAACTGATCAACCAGTCTGTCCTCCCCTTCTTCAGCTGAGTAAGTACTCCTCACATGTCCACAAATAGCTTTTACCCCAGATCTAGGGATATCCATCCAGTTGGTAGTTCCATCTGTATCCGCAGGAAAACGTGACAGCACATCAGCATCAATGTTCTGACTTCCAGCCTTGTACTGCAGGTTAAAATCATACGTGGCTAAGGCACTCAACCATCTATGTCCAGTGGCATTAAGTTTCGCACTACTTAGAACATACGTAAGGTAGGGGTGCAACGGATCAAAAAACTCACGGATCGGATCGTTTCTCGGATCAGGGTCACGGATCGGATCATTTTTCGGATCAGCAAAAAAAAAAAAAAAAAATTTCCCCCAAAATAACTGTAATAGCCTACTGACAAATTCTTTAATAATAAATAGACTTAACATTATGATATTCTGTTTTATTTTAACTTCACAGGGTTCCAGACTGAAAGTTGAGGGCAGCATCACCTCAAATGAGAACTCACAGCGAATTCTAAAAAAAAAAAAAAAAAAAAAAAAAAAAAATTCTGGTAGCACTGGGGCTGACAATAAATCACTAAGCTTAATTTAGGGTGTAGATGAAATTAACTTAGTTATTATCATTTATAATGTCTTAATATCAATTAATAAAAGTAGTGAAAATATCATCGTACTTTTTTCATTTTAGGACAATCTTTAAAGGATAAACAAAAAAATGTGTTGGTAATCACATAAAAAATTCAAAAAAATAAAACATTTATTTATGATATTATTGAAGTGCTGGGAAAAGATGTGTAGTAGGCTACTTGTAAGCATTTGACTATTTCTTACACATTATCATATATAGGCTGATTTGTGGACTGAAAGCCTTCTATAAGTGTTTCTCC